GTAGTGGTTTTGATGATGGATTGATGACAAAAGAATTTTTAACCATGTTACTCTAAAGGATTAATGATGTAGTGGTTAACATTGCCTAGTTGTTTCTACATATGAAAGGTTTAGAATTTCACTTGTTAAAGTTATTCTTCGGGCAAAATGAGACACTATGTCTTAGAAATTGTTGTTTAGCCCTAGTGTTTTGGAAAGGGGCACTGTCCTCTTATACGAATGGATGTTAAGTGTACAAGTTATTTCGTCTCTGTTTAGTTTCTCTTCCTTGGCATAACTTATGCAAGATATTGTGAAGTACGTGTTCTGTTCTGTTGAGGTAGGAGGACTTGGTCTCCCTTCTTCTTGTGCTGGTCCTGGCAAAGACTTCATCATCTATGAGTTTTGTACCTCTATATAGGAGTTGTATAGGTTCGTGGGCGAAAACATTTTTTTGAGTTCCCTCTTTTGTTAGGATTCTGAGTGAGGGTTTGACCTTGATCGTTTGACTTACCTCCACGATAGGAGGCAAAGTCCTTGGTTTTGTGGGATTCGTTCTGAGAGGTTTTGATCGATACAGTGTGAAACGCGACTGGTTGACTGCTATGTATGTTTTCTTAGGGTCTTGGTGTTAGCAATGGTACCTTGTAGCTGTGATACGACTCGTGTGTTAGGAATGGTTAGACCATATGTTGTGAATCGAGTGTTTGGAGTAGACATAGAGATTGATGTGTGTGTGTGCTTAAGGATTAGACCTGAGGACAGGTGCTTAAGGATTAGACCTGAGGACAGGAACGATGTTGGTGTTGAGGTCGGATTGACGATGAGAATGGCCTGGCCAACCATTTCTCTGAGTTAGTTCTTCCTTAACATAATGTCGGGTCAAAGGTCAATGACCATTTATTTTTGTATGCTTAGTAACAGTTGGAGTACTGTGTTGTGCGTTGCGTACGTGTAGTAGTACAATTCCATTTTAGAATGAAACTCACTTGGGGATTGATGGTATTCTTTGTACGTGTTCAGGTGACTTGTCATGGATGGTGGCGTACTTGGTATGGGACTATGTGTCCAAAGAGTTTCAGTTGTTGGATCAATGGATCCTTGAGCTATGCTGATGGGTTGTTTTTCCGGGGATCTGATGGTACATTTGATAGGTCAGATAGTTCTCTTGATTTTAGTTATGGGTGTTCGGCTATGATGTAGTTATTGAAGGTAGTAGTTGTCAGAGATGGTTTTAAGAGTTTCTTTGGGATCGCAGGTGGAGCTCGCGTGTTGGCTCGTTAAAAGGTTTTATAACCACTGTTTTGTGGGCCTTAGGGCTTTCGGCGCTGATTGTGTGAGGCGTTACTGGTTGGACCTACCGTGTATTGGAATCCAACCATTTTCTGGTGGGATGCCTCGTGTGGACTATGTTAGTGCAATTTTATATATCGGATTGGTTTTAACTTAGGTTGAGTGTCATGGGTTGAAGGATTCTTTTCGTGATGCGTGTCTTGTGTGAGTCGACTGAAGTCGTTAATTGAGGATTTAGTATCGATTAATGTTATGTTCTGGTTAGAATGATGACAATCCTAATGGTTCTCAGTGGTCAGGACTCAGTGGAGTCACGGAGTTGGTTGGGGGCTTATGCCTCGTGTGCTTGGCATGTGGTGATAGAGAATTTTGTTCGGCATACAGTGTGCCTTTATGCCAGTTGGCGTTGAAGGGGATGAGATTACGTGTGACTATGGTCACTGCTCGGTCATTGATGTGTTGGGTCACTAGCACAAGGTTGCGAGTGACGCAGGGTATGAGGTTATTTGGATTGGGGTTCTGAGGTATAGCATGTTGCGTGGGATACTCGGAGACGTATTCTATTCTTGTATCCTTTCGTCTTTCTCTTATGAGGTGGGTTGATTTCGGGGATAAAATCTTTTAAAGTTGGGGAGATTGTAATGTTACCGATTTTTCCTATTTTCTATTTCTGGAATTTATTTGATTTTCTGTATTATTTTAATCTTTACCTCGTTTTGTGTGCCACGCGGGCCCCAAGGGGCGTTTTGGTCATTTTCTTGAGTCGAGGGTGTTAGAAATGTAATTTTAATCATTTTAAGTCAATTAGAAGTGACGGTATCATTTTTTAGTATTTTTCAGGTGTCGAGATGATTTCCGGACTCGGGAATTTCTCCCGATTTTGTCATTTTAAGAAAGGAGCATAATGGACTTTTCTCACATATATGTATACATCTACATCTATATATTAGAGGTTGATATTTATGGGGAAAATGAGGCAATGTATGGTTTGAAGGAGGGCAAGATTGTAACTTTACACAAAATTAAAGATCAACCACAAGTTGACACATGGCAATCCAATGACCATAATTTGAGATTTTAATCAAGCCATCACTTTCCTCCTCCCCCATTTTCGTGCATCACTTTCTCTCTCTCTCTAGCACTTCTCTATCTCTCTCTATATTCATACACAAGCACACATTATTATCATCTAAATAAAAGGCTTTGATTTGGAGAGTTTAAGGTGGATTTTGAAGAAAAGGAAGAAGGGAGGTTGGAGAGCTTGGCATGAGCTTCAAATTGAGGCTAATATTGCTAGGGTTTGGAGAATTTCAAAATTTGGGGCTCTTATTCCATTTGAGGTAGAGTTTGTCTAATTGTCAAATTCCTTAGTTGTGGTAGCTAATTGGATGTTTTTCCCCCTCTCTAACTTGTCAATTTGAAGTTAAAATGCATGATTTAATTTTAGGGTTTTTGGTTTGTACGTGAATTTGTGATTTAAGGTGTTTTAAGTGATTGGGTGTTTATCTTGTGTTTAAATTGCAAGTGACATGTTGTTGAGCTTCTATAAAATGATTTATTTATTTCACCTCATGTGGTTGTTGCGATGTTTTTGATAATGTATATGCTAGAGAATACTTGAATGTTGTAATATGCAAAAAGTGTCAAATTATCTTGTTGAGGCCCTAGAAATATCAATCGTATTATGAAGGCATGATAATAATTACGTAATTGAATTTGGGCATTTCTTTATGCATGGCATAATGTTGTTCTTGGGTATGAGGGTGGTGTGGATGTAGTGGAGGTGGTGGATGTGGTGGATGGGTGCATTGAGCATTTTATACAATTCATTGTATATGCCTTACAATTCATTGGAAGTGTTGCATGTGAACCCTTGTATGACCCCCGACTCGTTTTCCTATTCATTGTTTATAAGGCATGTAATTACTTACCTTACTTGAGGAGATGCCACTTAGGCATTCTCTACTGAGCCTTGCGCTCACTCCTCTACTTATTACTATTTTTTCAGAACACGAAAAAGAAATAACGGACGACAATCCACCCTTGTCTTAGCTTGGAGTAAAAAAATGTTTCTTTTTGCTATCTTTTGTAATTGGGCCTAATTTTGTAAAAGTGATGACTTAAAATGTATTATTTTGTAGCATGTGATGTATTTAGGTCTATTTTGTGTATGGCCATTGGGGAAATGTAATTAAGTTTTAATCACACTAAATCCTTTAGTGTATTTTTTTGTAACGTGTTGTAAATTACGTTATTAATGTGGTTTTTGTTATTGTATTAGATGTTGGAATGTATTTTAATATGTACGTGAGTTTAGTGGTGTGGGTGGTTGGCTTCCAAAGTTGGTGTATCTCGGTTTCCTTCATACAGTGGTATTTTGGGTGAGGATAACCCAACCGGTCGACGTGAAATCCCATACGTCGACCAGATGACCTGAACCAGTCGACGTGAACTTCCCCACACGTCGACCGGTATCCTGACAGTGAGCTTTTCATCTTGCACGTCCCAAACCAGTCGACGTAAAATCTCATACGTCGACCGGTATCTCGGCAGTTGGTTTTCCACTGTTCATAACCCAAACCAGCTGACGTATAATGTATATACATTGACCAGTTCCTGTTCCATATATATTTTTCATTTAGTTTCCCTAATTACTCTTTAGCACCTAATTAACGTTGTGAGTATTTACTTTATGACCCAAATAAAATACGATAATTATATTTTAACCATAGAAAAGACTATATTGCCCCAGACCTTATCTAATTTATTATGAGATACAAGTAAATGACTATTATGCCCTTTGAGTCTCAAACCATTTGAATTGTGGCAAATTATCATCCTGTTCTTTTTGGACTTTAATATACAAACTGAGGGTGAAAGGACCGTATTACCCCTTGGATGATTTTGGGTCAAGCAAAGACCCGTTTAATGATCCGGATCCAGTGAATTTGGGTCGTTACTTATTGTGATCTAGTTTCTTCAATTAAAGAATATCAACAACAAATAAAACTGAAATGGAATTTGTGTTTTGTGGTAATAAGATGCATGGGATTTGTATTTTGTATAACAAAAGTTAATAGTTTCCCTTTGTCATGGTACCTCAAATAAAGTGGTTAAGGAGGGAGTTTTGCTTTTCCTTTTCACGATTATTTTGAATATTCATTTAATACAATTACAAATAATATATTGAATGGAAATATTATTAGAAAACATTTACATATTTGTATTTATTAACTTGGTCCGGTTCTTTTCTTTTTCTTTTTTTTTTTCTTTTTTTAATCTTATTATTATTCAATACTGCTCCCACTAAAAAAAAAATCTAGCTCCGTAACGGGAAGTGAAGATAAATATTTTATGAGATCTCAAAAGTTATGTTCTAATTAGGTTGAAAAAAATTATAAAGCAATGTTGGCAGGAGAATAAAAATAGTTAGGAGGGTGATCGTTTTCTTAAATAGTAGTCCCTAATTAATATTATTGAAGAATTTTCCTCTCTTCTTATAACGACCCTAACTGATGCCAAAATAAAATAAAAAAATTCAGCATGACCTCCGCTAAAAATCGTCCTATAATAACCTGTTTAAATGCATTTTTAACCTATCTCAATACAAATATCATATAATACACTCCATGGTGGTACAACCACTTACTATATCATCCAAATATCATATTTACAGTCCCAAATTACAAGATTAATATCAAATGTCCATATTTTGCAACATTTAGACAGCTTAAACAAAAGTTACAGCCCATAGGTGTAATTAAAATATGAAAAGTCTATAAGTCGTCGTACAAAATATATTATGCTTAGTCTTACAAAAATAGTGAGACCTAAGTACAAAAACAAAAAAAGGAGCTCCTAATCTATACTAAGTCGGTGCCAGAATGTCATCCGCCACTTCTTTCCCGTTCTTGAAAAAAAATGTTAAATGAAAGGGGTAAACAAAATTGCTCAGTAGGTGGTGCCTAAGACACACCTCTCGTGTCCCCGTGAATCCAAACAAGGAATAGGACAATAGGAATTTGGAGTCATGCATAGCCGGGAAAACACAATATCAATTCTAAGTTCAAAGCAAATAAATTTCGTACCATGAATGCAATGTTATGCATGTCACTCCCCATTTTCAGAAAACATCATCACTTCACAAACTGTTAATATAACCCGCCCTTTGGCGACTCCGCAGCGACACGAGAGAAGGATTGGCTACTGTCCCTGACCTTTGGTACCTCCGCAGCGTCATTTGGGGCCCAGATAGCTCAACCACATTAGGGCAATCTCCCTAATTCCCTCTAGGCTATATTAACACACCGGCTCTTTGGTGACTCCGCAGCGACCGGGTTTTTCTCAAAAACCGTTTCATCAAATTCTCCCCAAAATCCCCTTTTAATTTCATTTAAAAACAATTTCCCCTTTTCTTTCATGCCCAATGCTTGTGTGCATATATGGAAATGGAGAGAATTTTTAACACACAATTAACAAGCTTTCACATAAATTTCTGACAAATTAATTGGCATAGAAAACTAACACATTAAGCATGTTTTTATTTTATTTTCTTTCATTTTATTATTATTATTATTATAATTATTATTTTCATACAATTCAATTAAATACACATTATAATTCAATTAAATACACATTCTCACATGTTTCATATATATAATCAAGTCATTTTAAGGAACAATTATCACAATATAGCATGCTAGAATACTAATAGGATACTAATCAAGAAAAAAATAATTCACAAAGGAACAATCATCACAATTTAGCATGCTATGACACTAATCAAGAACAATTAACTCACAAAAGAACAAGATTGTAGGAATTAGAGACCCCTACCTCACTTTTAAGCAAAACCCCCAATTTCTTCACCTCAAACTCTAGGATTTCGAATCTCCTATAGTGCACCAATCAAAGAATTGATCCTATCAACGTGTTGATCTCATCGTGGGCTTCGAATAGCCGCAAACGGCTCCCAAAAACACTAAGTATAGAAGGAGAAATCAAGAGATGAAGATTGAAACCAAAAAAAGAAAAAAAGAAGAAAGCTTCTGGACGAGAGAGAGAACCTTACGGGAATGAGAGAAAATGAAAGCAAAATGGTTTCATGACCATTTAAGTGCTTGTGGGTCCCATTCATTCTTTTCTTCTTCTCTCTTTTCTTTTGCTTTTAAATTACATCACACACACAGAAATATATACACATATGCACTTATATTTATATATAAGGTACAGACATTACACTTCTCCAGTAGACGCAAGCCCCTAGTAGCTGAACCACAAAGATTCTTCTGTTATTCTTTCTCTTATTCTCTATTATGTCTTATATTATTATTTAGTAAGCTTGCCTTACAAATGATAGTTAGTTTAACAATTTAGGCACAATCTGTAAATTATATGATCAAATTGGTTAAAATTATAAATAATTAAATGAGATGGAGACTTAATTAGACAGCTCAGTGTTTGTTTTGGTGCTTTGTTATCTGGCGCTATTGTTGGGAGTGGTGAGATTGATGTGGTATTTTATTTCTTAATGTGAAGATAACAAAAGTGGATCAGTTATTGGTATATAATTACTTAGTTAATACTTTATGTAAATTGTTTGGAAAAAAATGAAAACTATAAAATAAAAAATTGTGGTTAAATATATTGACGAAGCAGTGTAAACTGTAAAACAATAAAAACTGCTATTTAGATAAAATAAAAATTGTCGTTAAATACAGTGTAAAACAAGGATTTGTTTCTTCTCTCTGACGCAATAGTTTAGAATGCTTGCCTTCCGAATAACCCAACTCCAATTAGCAAGTCCAGGATTCCTTGCTTGCCAATTGCAAAGTAGGTTAACTTTTATATATATGTATTGACATGTTAAAAAACAAAAGTCCAGGATTCCTTGCTTGCCATGTTAAAATTGAAAAAAAAAAAAAAAAAAAAGGAAGGCCCAGGATTCCTCATTTGGTTACCATGTTAAAAAGAAGAAAAAGAATGGCCATGGTTTCTTTAATCTTTGTATTCAAGTCTAGTGGAGGCTACGTTATTTTTAATTACAAAATAATTAAATTTCAGAATACTTGAGTATGTTATCTATAAATAGGGGTTATGGCAGCGCGCAACCTCTCATCGATATATAGTATTGCTTTTCATTCAGTACTTCCAGTAACCACTAAAAAAATGGCAGACGCAATTCTTTCTAGCGTTGTGACTGAAATTGTGAAGAAGTTGGGCTCTGCTGCTGTCCAAGAGATCCAATTGCTGTGTGGTCTCAAAACAGAGTCTGCCAAATTGGAGGACACCATTTCCATTGTCAAAGCCGGACTTTTTGATGCGCAGCAGCAGCAGCATGACGCTGCAAACAGGCAGGATAGTGCTTTGCTCGAAATGTTCAAAGAAGTGGTTGATGATGCCGATGACTTGCTGGATGACTTCTCAACAGAAGATTTGCGGCGTAAGGTGATGACTAAGAACAAAAAGGCCAAGAAGGTACGCATTTTCTTTTCAAGCTCAAACCAGCTGTTTTTCCGTTTTAAGATGAGTCACGAAGTTAAGGCCATTCGTGAGAGACTAGATGCCATTGCTGAAAATAAGATCAAATTCCACTTCGGTGGGGAACGGCCTACAGATGTGCAAGTGAAGAGGGAGGAGAGTCACTCTTTTGTGCGTGCTGATGATGTTATTGGGAGGGATAATGATAGAAAGGCAATTGTAGAATTGTTGATGGACTACAATGTTCAAGTGAATGTGTCTGTCATTGCAATAGTTGCAATCGGGGGCTAGGAAAAACCAAACTTGCACAATTAGTATTTAATGATGAAAATGTCACTAAACATTTTGAACTCAAAATGTGGGTGTGTGTTTCTGATGTCTTTGATGTGAAACAAATAGCAAAAAATATCATAGTAAGTGCAACATGTGAGAAACCAAAAAATCTTCAAATGGAAGGAGTGCAAAATAAGCTTAGGAAAGAAATTGATGGGAAGAAATATTTGCTTGTGTTGGATGATGTGTGGAATGAGGATCGTGACTAATGGATAGAACTGAGAGATCTATTGATGGGTGGTGCAAGGGGAAGTAAGGTTCTGATAACCACCCGCACCAAATTAGTTGCAACTGTTTCAGGGGCAAATTCATTGTATCCTTTAGAAGGCTTGTCTAAGAAAGAGTCTTGGTCCCTTTTTAAGCAAATGGCTTTTAAAGAAGAGAACGAGTTGCAGAATGCATGTCGAGTGGAAATTGGAAAAGAAATTGTGAAGAAGTGTGCAGGAGTTCCTTTAGCCATTAGGGTATTAGGAAGCCTATTATATTCCAGAGACACAAAGGAGGAGTGGTTGAGTTTCAGAAATAAAGATATGCCAAAAATAGCTCAAGATGAGAATATTGTTCTACCAATATTAAAGTTGAGCTATGATCACTTTCCCTGGCATCTAAAGCAATGCTTTGCATTTTGTTGCTTCTATCTTAAGGATCATGTAATTGATAAGCAACAATTGATTCAATTGTGGTGTGCACATAGATTTATCGGGTTGTCAAATGAAAATCAAGAAATGGAGGATGTTGGAGATTTGTATTTTATAGAGTTATTAAGAAGGTCCTTTTTTCAAGATGAGAGAATAGACGAATTTGGTAATATAATAAGTTGTAAAATGCATGATCTTATACATGATGTTGCAGTTTTAGTTGCCAAAAGTGAGAGTTTGATGGTAAATTTGAGCACAAAAGAAGTTCCTCCAAGAATCCATCATGTGTCGATTGATTTGCCATCTTTAAATGATAGACCATGGGAAATTCCAGCCCCGTTGCTTGGAGCTATCGGAATAAGAACATTTTTTTGGCCGGCTCAAGGTTATTATTCAACAGTTTCATATGATGTGGAACGGGAGAATTCAGTTTATGCAAAAATTGTTTCCACCTTTAAAAGGTTACGGGTGTTGGATCTGCACAAATTGGGGTTCCAAACGGTGCCAAGTTGCATAAGTAAGCTAACACATTTAAGGTATCTTGATCTCTCTGGTAATTCTGGTATCAAGACACTGCCAAATTCTATAACCGAGTTGCCAAATTTGCAAACCCTAAAACTTAGCCATTGTGAAAGCCTGGAACGATTGCCAAGAGAGATTAGAAAATTGGTGAGGCTTAGGCATCTCGAGATTGATGGTTGCCATGGATTGAGTGATATGCCGCGTGGACTGGGGGAGTTGACTTGCCTTCGAACTTTAAAAGAATTCAAGGTGGGTCCATCTAACAGGTTAAGTGAATTGAAAGATCTAAACAATTTAAGGGGGAAGCTGTTAATTGAACTACCGAGGATGGATTTAAGGAGAGATCAATCAATTGAAGTACCGAGGAGGCCAAGATTAAAAGAAGCAGAGGAAGCAAACTTGAAAGAGAAACAACACCTTCAGTCTTTGAGATTTGATTTTGGCAACTTTATTTATATTGATGATGATGATGGTGAGTTAAAGTCAGTGTTGGAAGCTCTCCGGCCACACACAAATTTGAAAATGCTTGAAATAACAGGGTATCGGGGTGTGAGATTACCAACATGGATGTCCTTCCTCCTGAATCTTGTTCAAATTTATTTACATAATTGCAACGGATGCAAAAATCTTCCAAAATTCGAGCAGCGTCCTTGTCTCCAAAGTCTTCGTCTTGTTGACTTAGATTCGGTAGAGTACATAGATGACAACAGTTGTGGTGGTGTTAATGATGAGTCCTCCTCTTTTTCTCCATCTTCTTCAACAACAACAGCATTCTTTCCATCACTGAAATATCTCCAACTCAAGGACATCTCTAATTTGAAGGGATGGTGGAGGAGTAAATTAGGAGAAGATGAAGAACAATCAACAGCAAACAATCAAGAAGAGCAGCAGCTATTATCACACCCATCATTTCCTTGTCTTGTTGAATCAAATATCTCCTACTGCCCTCAGCTAACATCAATGCCTCTGCAACCAACTGTTGTAAAACTAATATTTCAGAGTCAGCGGGAAGTTCGTCCAACAGCAGTTACTGACGATGGCAAAGGAAACCCCAACTACTGTTGCAACCTCATCTTCTTCACTCATTCCTCTTTCCAACTTGGAGGAACTGTCAATATCTTCCACTGGGGATCTAGTTACTCTGCCGGAGGAGGCATTCCCACTTCTCACTTCTCTACTAAGACTAGAGATTGCAGGGTGTCCAAAACTAACCTCTCTGTCCAGAGGGATGAGGCATCTCATCACCCTCATGTCCCTGGAGATCCTGTCCTGCCCAGAGTTGGATTTGTCAGATGATGGCATGCATTTTCAAGGCCTCAGGAACCTAACTTCTCTGCGTATCTTCAATATTCCAAAGTTGGAGTCTCTTCCTGCGGGGCTTCAACACGTAACCACTCTCCAATCTCTATCCATTGTTGCTTGTAAAAATTTGGAAAGTTTAGCAGAGGGGATAGGCAACCTCACATCACTTCAAAAACTTGATATTCATCATTGCCCGGGTTTGAAGTCACTGCCCGAAGGGATGCGTCGGCTCACCGCATTACAACAACTGAAAATCCAATTATGTTCACAACAGCTAAATGATAGATGCCAATAGAGATGGCAACGGGGCGGGTTTGGAGCGGGTTTCCCTAAATCTCGCCCCGCCCCTTTTAATTTTTGTCAAGTTCATGCCCGCCCCGAGACTCGCGACGGGTTGAATTTTCATATCCAACCCCGTCCCGTTAGGAAATACTGTGCCCCCGTGCCCGCCCCACTAACAAATTTTTTTCACCCACTTTTTGGAACTTAAACTCCTGCTATTTAAATGTACAAAGCCTAGAAATGACACAACATAAATATAATTATGTATTCTAACAAAAATAAAAAAAATAACATGCACATAACATAATTCAAATAACATAATAAACAAAAATAAAAGTTTAATACAACCAAATCACAAGAAGTTCTAAGCTCCAACTTCCATCATAACCAAAACAAAAGCAAATTTAATACCAAGTTTACATCCCAAATTAGGATTGTAAGAGATGGGTTGGGTAAGCCGCTAAAATAACTTATTAATATATATATATATATATATATATATATATATATATATATATATTAAATATAGTTATATGCGGGGCGGGGCGGGGCGGGGCCCCTAGGATATGTATATTGAACCCTTACCCGCCCGTGACCCTCGACGGGTACAAAATTTGTATCCATGTCCGCCCCAACAGTATTGTTAGTCACTAATTGATTCTAGAGGGGGGTGAATAGAGTCAAGGAGCAATTTTTTCAATTTAAAAATATATTTCTACCAAACTGTTGAATATCAGTTTATTGAAATATTCAAGCAAAATAAAGCACAAAAATAAGAGAGATAGAGATAAGAGATTGCAAACAATGACTCGGTGATTTAGCGAGGTTCGGAAACTCCTACTCCTCGGCTCAAGATCCCCCTTAAGACTTCCCAAATTCACTAGAGCTTCTCCTTAATGGTGGAGAGCAAACCTTCACTTTTGAAACAAGATCTTGCTTCTCTTCTTTGCTAGGAGAACACCCTTCTCCTAGGCTTTCTTTTGGGTTACACCAACCCTTTACAATAGCTTTGAAATTTGAAGAAACAAGTGTACAAGAATCTCCCAAAGATAGATTACAGAGTTTAGCTCACAACTATAGAAAAGATGAATATACGTGAAGCTCAGAATTACTACAGTGATATGAAATAACAGAGAGGGAATGAAAGCTCAGAAAACTTCTTTAATGTTTTTCAAGGAATGATAGAATGTTCTCTGTTAAAAAAGATCATTTAGTTTGAAGACCAACCTCAGTATTTATAGAATAAACAGAGTTCAATATAGCTGTTAGAGGTTGTTGAGAACATTTAATGAAAATGTTTACGTTACAGTTCAAAACCCTAAAGAGAGCCGTCTCTTGAAAACCAAAGAGCCTGCTCTTTGTTCATTTTCCTTGGAAAGAGACTGCTCAATAAAAACATGAGCCTGCTCTTTATTTTGAAGATCCATTTTCGTAGCTTTCTTGGAACAAAAAGAGCCCTCTCTTTCTTTTGATTGAGCCCTCTCTTTTTCTTAAATACTTCTCAAAGACTTACTGGAGTTAAAGAAAAGAATCTTCTCAGAGCTCACTGAATAAGAGAAAAGAGCCTTCTCTTTATTTTATGGAGCCTTCTCCATCTCACATTATGATACTTAATATGAAATTCTTTAAGTCCTGTGAATGTGATCATGAGCTGATTTTATTTTCTTTGAGAAATAAAATGGGAGTGCAATGCATGGATTGAATTTTGAGCTTCAAATATATTCAAATTAACTTTGACATTAAATCTTAAGCTCTCACCATCTAATCTACCATTTTCTTCAATCTTTGACCATGATCGGTTAGCCTTTGATGGAGTACTTGAATAATCTTTGAATTCTTGCAACTTCAATGCTTCCTTGAATCCATTGCTTGAGTACTTGGAATGCTTCTGGCTCAATATTGAGGATTGAATTAATTGATCAACTATATAGCACTCAAGGAAAATATTAGTACATAAACATCATTAATGGTTTGTAATCATCAAAATATAAGATTGACCTTTAGATTAAATCCTTAGGCCAACAATCTCCCCCTTTTTGATGATGACAAAACATTGATGTGTTTATTGTCAAGGTAGAGTTGCATTTTGAAATAATGCTCCCCCTATCAATAAGCATATCTTGAATTCATGTCAACAACAAATATTTGAAAAAAAATATGTCTCCCCCTATCAATGTGCATCTATCAAAAATAGCAATGTAGTAGAATAGACACAATATAGCCACAATATAGCATAGAACACATCTTTCTCCCCCTTTGTCATATCAAAAAAAATCTTCCTTTATCAATGGGAAATACTGACCTTTGCATGAAATATCAAAATGGATAAAGAAAAGAGCAATTAAATAGCAAATATGGCAGTGTATAGAAAGCAGAAGTTAAAACAGAAGGAGAATTAGAAGACAACTACCATATGAGTAGATAAAAGCAGAGTTCATGATAAGGAGTTCAAAATGAAATAACATAAGTAAATAGAACATATCTAAAAATATGATTCTCTAAAGCAGATATAGCAAATGAGACCATAAAAAATAGGTTTTAGACGGGGGTGATACTGTGCTAAGGAGAAGGAGGTCTATTTCCTTTACGAAATGCTTCAAAATCTTCATTAAGATGAGTGATTGACATATGCACTTCGTCAAGTTGTCTTTGCTGGTGTGCAAGAGTGGTTTGTTGTTCTTCAAGAGTGGCTTGATTTTGACGAGTAGCTTCGAGAATTTTCAATAAAAGATCACGATTGGTGCAACTTTCAGCTGGAACTTCATCCTCTTCAGCACTGTCATCACTGTCATGTTCTTCTTCATCCTCATCATCAACTTCCTCAATTTGTTCTCCTCTATCTCGAGCCTCTTCAAACCTCCATTGCTTAGGATAGAACCACATACCATTTGAATCCCTTTTTAGCCCCATTGACGCAAGATTTAAAGTAGTGAGCATGTGTCTTGACCCTGGTTTAACTGCTTCAGAACTATCTAGCGGAACTTTCATATCCATGAATATGTGAGTGAGAACCATGGCATAATAAAGAGAGACCTTTTTCTTTCTCTTACAAGCAAGCAAATGATGAAATATTATGTATGTAAGATTAAAGGGCTTTCCATTTAAGACACACCAGATAAGGAAGACGTCTATGTGAGTGACTTTGGATCTACTGCCGGATTTTGGAAGAATGGAGTACATGATGATCTTGTGAATCAATCGGGCTTCCATAGTTAATTGCCTGGTGTTTACCACTTTTGTATTGGTTACACGGGAATCATAACTCATTTGCTGAATAGCCGTGAGTTTGTCAAAGCCGTGTCCAATAAACCATTTGGAAGGAGAATAGAATTGGATGCCATCCTCAAGTTTGAGAATTCGAGCAATGTTACTTCTATCAAGGTAAAAGTGAACTCCAGCTACATAACAATTAAGTTTGTCTTCTCCAGGACTTTTTTCAAGGTGAGTGTAAAATAACTTTACGAATTTTGGATAGTATTTGGTACTCAACCCAACAAAGTTTCCTAGGCCAATTTCGTCAAACAATCTATAGGTGTTGAGATGAAGATCATCGCAAATTTTTTTGGACAATACCATTGCTGTGGCCAATTTTCTATGTTGATAGATAGTGTCAAATGCTACTTTGTAGGTAGGGTTTCTATAAAGCATGGTAGCAGATATTTGAGTTTGTGGACTAGGACTTAAACCAACATCTTGAGATCTTTGAGAGTTCTGTTTATAACCACGAGGAGGATTCTTTCTACGAGAGGATGAAGCCGTGGACATTTCTAGAAATTGAAACTGAAATTTCAGAAGGAATACTTAGAACACATATCTAAAGAAAAATTCACTTAAATTTGTTTGGAGTAAAAAAAAATTCAATTATCATATACTGGAAATTTCAAAGCTCAAATTGGTTTTGACTGAAAATTAATGATTATAATTGAAAATGATTTTGAACCAATGTACCAATTCAAGTTTTATACTAAAAAAAAAAAACAAAAAAAAAATCAAATAATATGATCTGAGTAATAAAGTTTACAAATTCATCTTAAAAGTTGAAATTCAACAGAATTTTGAAATGTACTGCCCAGATGAATTATAAACAACATATTTTTAAAATTTATTCAAAGATAAATTCAAACTAGAAGGGGTTTGATAACCAAAGTTATGAAATATATTTCTAAGATTTGATAAAATAAATTCATAGATTAATCACAAGACAAATGCATAACTACTAGAAATTTGAATTAACAAACCAAGAGAGTAACCATTTCTACTCAATTATGTTCTTTCCATGTGAGGAGAAAGTCTACAGTGAAATCAAGGGTTTCATGGATGAGAGATGAAAAAGCAATGAACTCTGAAATTTGTTGAAAATAGATCAACTAAAATGCAAGAACTCATAACTTTGAGATGGAATTTGAGGAAAGGAGTTACCTGTGAAGATGCCCAATGGATGAAATATTTCAACCCTAGCCGAGAGAGTGCTCTGGAATAAGCCTCTGTTATGTCTAGAATGGAGTCAGTGTGCTGAAGGGAAGGTGCCGAGATGGAATATGAAAGCCTACTGTGCACTTAAAAATGAAACCGAGAATCTGTGGGTTTCATTGATTGAGCCGGCTCACTAGTTCATAGAGCCGGCTCAATGAAGGTTCTTGGAGCCGGCTCACTAGTTCATAGAGCCGGCTCAATGATGTTTCTTGGAGCCGGCTCTTCTATTTCATGGAGCC